TAAAAAAAATTTGGATTCTTTTGGTGATATTATAAAATATATCTTATAGCAAATGGCGGACGCAGCACCAGCCGGTGGTCCAGGAGGCCGTGGAGGTTTTCGTGGAGGTTTTGGTTCAGGTGACCGTGGACGTGGCCGCGGAAGAGGCAGGGGACGTGGTCGTGGTAGAGGCCGCGGAAGAGGTGGCAAGGAAGGAGATAAAGAATGGATTCCTGTAACTAAACTTGGGAGACTGGTCAAGGATGGCAAAATCAAAACCCTGGAAGAAATTTACTTGTTTTCTCTACCGATTAAGGTAAATGTGTGGGCAATTTTAATCCTTTCTAACAAAATCTAAATTTAGCCGGCAGTTTAGAAGAGCGGACTCCGTGGCCTAATGGATAAGGCGTCTGACTTCGGATCAGAAGATTGAGGGTTCGAGTCCCTTCGGAGTCGAATTTTTTTTCTTGTCTATTTTTATCATTTTAAAAGATTATTGCAGTTACTTTACATACAAGTAGTGAATGTACAGAAATAACATTAAAATTTTTTTTCAGGAATTTGAAATCATTGACTTTTTCCTGGGTTCAGCTCTGAAGGATGAGGTTCTGAAGATTATGCCTGTCCAGAAACAGACCCGTGCTGGACAAAGGACAAGATTCAAGGTGAATTTTATGAAGGCTTTTTAAATACACCTGTAATGATTTTATTGCATTATATTTTTTTCTGGTATGTGAAAGATTTCAAATATACTTTCAGATGCTAATGTTTGGACTATGTATAACATTTAATAATCAATTAATTTTGTTATTGCAGGCTTTTGTGGCAATTGGAGACTTCAATGGCCATGTTGGTCTGGGTGTGAAGTGTTCCAAAGAGGTGGCTACAGCAATCCGTGGAGCCATCATCTTGGCAAAGCTCTCAGTTATCCCTGTACGCAGAGGATACTGGGGGAACAAGCTGGGAAAACCGCATACTGTGCCTTGCAAGGTAATTGTAACTTTTTAAAGTTAACAATATTTCAAGAACAATAATTCTTTGGAATAAATAAGTATACTAAATTATTTATCATAGCAGAATTATATATAATATGATTTTCCCCACAATAATGGTATTTTTATCTTGATAACTATAACTTGTATACAACTTAAAAATATTTTAACTTTCAAGGTGACTGGCAAATGTGGTAGTGTACTTGTGCGTCTTATCCCTGCTCCCCGTGGTACTGGCATTGTGAGTGCCCCTGTCCCCAAGAAGTTACTGACCATGTCTGGTATTGAGGACTGTTACACCTCAGCCAGAGGACAGACGGCCACGCTTGGAAACTTTGGTAAGATGTCTTCATTATAAATTGGAAGTTGTTATTTGATTACTATATTTATACTACTGTACGTGTTTACAAAAAAAAAAGCTTTAACAATTTTCATAATTGATTTGGAAAGTGATAACTGGTCCATGATGTTCATTTCTGATCTCATGTCCTTTGATTGGAGTAGCTTCGCCCCTAATGATCAAGATTTTGATAAGTATGATTACTTACACCTTCCTGCTTTTTATTCCAGCCAAGGCCACATATGATGCTATCTCCAAGACCTACAGCTACCTGACTCCAGATCTCTGGAAGGAAACTGTCTTCACCAAGTCCCCATACCAGGAGTTCACAGACTACCTGGCTAAGCAACACAAGACTGTGGGAGTGCAGCGCACTGAACAGAAAGTCTATTAAAATAGATATGACTTAAAAGCTTGTTGTTGTTTGAGAGACTTGGGAGGAATTTCACATTGACATGTGAATACATCTGAACTTTTGGCTTTTTAATGTGGAAAAAATACGAAGAAAAAAGAGAATAAAGTAATGAAAAAACACTGCATTGATTTTTGTTCATTTAACCCAAATAAAATTGATAAGTACATCCTTGTGGGGAAGAGGGGCACTTTGTTACGAACTGCAATAAAGTTAGCTTTGACCCTTAGTGAGGAAAGTTCTGGGGGAGGAGTGGTAGCTACATGCAACTGGCCTAACATTTTCAAATAAACTGGTCACTCAAACAGAAGATGACCATGTTTCACATAAGCAAAAGTGAAAGGCTCAAAAACTAGGGGTCCAATTTTGGCTGTCAATTGTTAAATTTATTCCCAGACTTGAAAAATACTGCAGGTAACTGTAATGAGTCTACCACTTACCAGGGCCACCAACTGATTTTTCACAAGATATTCACTTATATTTTACTGGTTGTTTCTTGGCATTTTTCTGGAGAAGAGTACACAATCAATCAGTAACCCTGGTAGAGGTTACTATAAGGACTGCTGTTTATTATCAGTTTGTCTCTTATAGGCATTCTCTATGAAGTAGCATGCAGGGGTTTGGGGGTTCAAAGCACCTGGGGCAGGGTATGATAAAAATTTGCCCACTATATATGTCAATATTATCATTCGCTGGTGATTCTGCATGTTGAGACAAGCACTGTACATCAACTTTTCTAGATCCACAAGACATGTATACTTCCTTATATTTTAATAGAACTGAAGAGGCCTGGAAACATTTATTCCACAATCCACAGCATGAACAGTACATAGTATATTACGTACATTGTAATCTTTTTATTTTAAAACATATGAATGAGAATGGTTGACATTCCAAGAAGTATTATTAGACAATCCACAGCATTGACAGCATATACTTATTCTTACACTGCAAATGTGAGTATATAATATTGTAATGGGTAGGTATAATGGGTGAGTAAATCCAAACTATTAGAACACTAGAAGATAATATTGATAATAATTAATACCGTTTCATTAGTGTTATTGGGAGCAAGACTCCGGAAATCTGATGAAAGCATACTCTGTGCTGTTCCAAATTACCTGTTTATATATAATATCTACAATTACAGCAAACAATGCCTCAACAATAATTTAAACACTTTAAAAACAACTTCTGTTATGTGCCAGTAACACTGATTCACCACAATAAAGATTCAAAATTTGAGCCTTTGACTTGTGATTTTCAGGTTCGCAGCTACAAGACCTTAAATATACAAGTGCATTTGAAGTTCTCTTATATTCTATTTTCATAAAAATGATGTCTATGACCATTCTGGCAAATGAAAGAATAGCAATCAACTGTGTTCAACATTATTACAGCAGTCGGAGATCTAAACTGGCAGATTTCATTGCTTCATTTCTGCCATTCTGTTGAGAGCACTTCCTGCCTTGAACCATTGAATCTGCTGTTCATTCATGGTCTGTGCCAGCTTGATGGTTTCTATGCTGCCATCTTTGTGTTTGATCTCACACCTCACATGCTGAAACAAAATAGCATGAATAGCATGAATATCCGCAATCATACTTCAAGGAGCATGAGAGTATCATCTTAAATGGTGAAGGGTCAGAATAAGAGATAATGTTTTAAAATCTTTATGCAAAGAAGATAAGTGCACTTTTCTTGTGAAATATTTTTATCAATTAAAAAATAATAAACTAAAATTGTTGTGTGTGTTTGTGTGCACGCATGTGCAACAGGAACAAAATTTTTGCACTTAAATTTAGAAGTTTGTCATATAAAGTCTTCAATTTTCAAATCAAAGTATCAATGTGTTATCATGTTTGCGTATATTTGGACTTTATCTCACTGGTTTCCTTAATATTACCTTTCCTGGTGCCAGTTCATTCAGTCCCTTGAGGGAAATCTTGTCTGCTGGGGAGATCTTGTCATAGTCAGAGGGGTTGACAAATGTCAGTGGCAAGATGCCCTGCTTCTTCAAGTTGGTCTCTGGATTTGGAAAAAGGAAACTAAGTAAATAAATCCTATTCAAGGCATTAAATCCGACGTTTTGAATTCTTTTGGTAATTTTTTTTCTAAAAGAATGTTCACATTTTCAAAAAGCTTAATCTGGCAAATGTTTCAATGAAATACAAATAAAGAAATCATGAAACTTGAGAATAATACAGATAAAACAATTATTCTTATAAAATCCCTTACCATGAATTCTAGCAAAGCTTTTTACAATGATTGCCTTTCCACCTAGATGCCTTGGTTCCAAGGCAGCATGTTCTCGGCTGCTTCCCTCACCATAATTTTCTTCTCCTATTACAACCCATGGAAGATTATTTGCCTAAAACACACAAAAATCCAACCTAATTTATTGTATTCACCATTATAATTTCAGGGCACAAGCATAGTTATATCTTAGACCAACCTGTTATCACCACATAAGTCAAAATAATTGAACAGTAAGTCTAATATGAATTAAATAAAAGTCCAGAATAACTCTTTAAAATATTGTGTCAAATACAACCTGTTTATCAGAAAACTATTTTTACAACGTGAAGCGCATTAAACAATTTAAAACAGTTTTTTTAATCATATGAAAACCAAACCTTATACTCCCTGGCAGTGGCAGGTACAGGTCCATATTCTCCAGTCAACACACTGGCTACACTATTCATTTCCCCATTTTCAGAGTTAGTGGCCCTGAAATAGCACAATGCATACATTGTTCTGAATTTATTTTAAATGATTTCAAGTGTTCCTTTCAGATGTAAAACAACCAAAAACAGTACCCTTTCACTGTACAGACTGATTACACGAAATTCAGTGGAACAGACATAAAAGGCTTATCAGACACTGTATCTGTTCATCACCTAGTTGTTGCATACAACTCTCAAAATGTGAAATTATTTTTTCTAAACACTGGAAAAATAGTTGAATTTACCCAATCATAAAGTTGTTTGAGATGTTATCCAAGTGACCTCTGTACTTCAGCCAAGGTCCAGCTGGACTGATGTGGTCAGTTGTACACTTGCCTTTCACCTAAATAAAAACAAAAACTTAATATTTGGATATTTTTTATGTCACACAAAAGCCATCTAATACTAAATTTAATAATATTTATACCAACATACCACAAACATCATTATTTTTTTTGAAAGTTTTAATAAAATATTCAGAATTGATTTTAAGTGACAACAGTGATTTCTTAAATTCAACTGCTAAAAACCTTTAAGTAATTTTATCGATTTGATGAGTGATAAAAATAGTGTCAGATGCAAGTATAACCTTTAGTAAGACAACCAAGTCATCCAAATCTTTCCCATCCCACTTATTGAACGGTGTGAGGAGCTGTAGCCTGTTGCTGGTTGGACTAACATCTACCGAGACTCCCGATGCATCACTTGGGGGGGCTTGGTATGTGTCCTGGCCTGGATCAAACCCACGGGATGGCAGCTCATCACCAGTGGGACATTCAAACTTGAACTTCTCACCTAGAAATTAATTAACATACACACCCTGTTGATCTTATATCATCTAAAAACAATTTCATTTCAAAAGGTTAAATTCTCAAACGTTTGTTATTCATAGAAATCATTCAGCAAAATTCGGTGCTTAATATTAACATACAACATGACTTCCAAATATGTTGAATTGTAAATCACTAAATGAACTAAAAAATCACCCTGAAAAGTGATGATCAGATATGCTTTTTCACAACTCACCATTTGCTCCTTCCAGTTCATCAGTGACAGGGTTAAAATCCAGACTTCCACCAAACACCATGGCTGTCACCAACTCTGGTGATGTCACAAAGGCATGGGTCTCTGGGTTGCCATCATTACGACCAGTGAAGTTCCTGTTGTATGATGTAACAATGGTGTTCTTCTGTCCTTTTTTCATATCAGTTCTACAAGTAAAATTAACATTTAAAAATAGCATGTTCAACAAACAAATCAAATCTTTATGCCAATTCTTCAATCACTTTTCTCCAGGAAATGAAATCTTAATAATGGTCAAATTTACAATAGTTTAGTTGTTAGGGAAGTACCATATGAAAATGCCAGTCTTAATACCCATTAAGTATTTCACGAGATGTGAGCCTCATACCTGTTCCACTGTCCTATACAGGGACCACAGGCATTAGCCAATACTATGCCTCCAATTTCACGCAGCACTGCAGCCTAAACAAAAGTAACACTGAAACTTACTTCAGCTACTGTCTCCATTATTTTTGTATAATTTTTTAAAATATTTTTTTGTAATTTTGAATATGCAGCAACTTCCTCTTACTTGTTAAATCAAATTTGATATAATTCTAGTTAATTTAATTTGTAAGAAATAAGGGTTATCATTTTCATTTCCCTTTATGCTTCCTACCTTCTAAAACTATACAAGTGACGTCAATCTTTTTTGAATGTCCATTTCAAATATTCATATTATATTCTAAGAAGCAATCAATAAAACAGAACAATGACTACTTTTTTGCTATCTCAATAGCACAAAAACTCCACAGTTTCATCTCCATAAAGAGACTTCCTTTATGGCTACATGAACAGACACAACACTGTCTATGTAACTATGTTATGGTCTTAATTCCTTTTTGCCACATGTCTAGTACGTAGTCTACACACCTGGCCATCTCTCTCAATGGTTGCTCTAATCTGTTCTGAGCCTGGAGTGATGGTGAACTTGGACTTGGCTTTTAAACCATGCTTCAGTGCCTGCCTGGCTAAACTGGCTGCTCTACTCATGTCCTCATAACTACTGTTAGTACAGCTGCCAATCAATCCTGGGGGAGAGATTTTAATTTCACAATACCCAATTACTACAGGAAAACAATGATATTCAAGGGGCAATATGAATAACATATTATTTTCTATAGACCATAGCACATGATCAAGTAATCAATTCCTATCCTATCAGTAAGCACTCAAATAATACAATATTACTTCTAGAAATATGCATCTAATCTACAAAAAATAAGTCTATTTAACTCTGCAAAGCAAAAAAAAAAAAAAAAGGTCACAGAGCATAAAATTAAGCTGAATTTCCATTCAGCCCATTTTTTTCTAACATCCAATTACATATTTCAGGATGAGTGTCATATCAAACCATTATCTGGTGAATTAACAGTGTAGTGATCTATATTACTGTCAATTTTTGTCTACAAACAGTAATGATACGATAATTAGTTTATACTTATGACAAAACAATTTTATGACCCCATCACATTACTGAAGATAATATTAATCATGTACCAAGTAAAAAGACAGCCCATCACCTGCTGTAAAATAAGGCACTTTTCCTGACAGCAAAACTCACCCACTTCAATTTTCAAAGGCCATCCTTTTTCTTTAGCCCTCTTGCCAAGTTTACTAATTGGGTGTGCAAGATCAGGTGTCATTGGTCCATTTATGTGTGGCTCCAACTGTAGAAAGAGCATGCTGTATCATACCAAAAACCCAGACACAGTGATCTAGGCCACACTGACCCAGATACATATCTACATCATCAATAACACTCACAAACTAAATACATTAACTTACCCACAGAAAGCTCCACAGGCCAGCCATTCTCTTTAGCCCGTTTTCCAAGTAGGGAAATAGGATGAGCAAGATCAGGGGTAAAAGGCCCATTGACATGAGGCTCTAACTGAAAGCATATACAGGTTGCAATGCAAGCAGCAGGAAAAAAATCTTGATACCCATTCTAGAATGTCTACCACCAATGATTTGACATAAAATTACTTCCATGCTCTGCAGGGCTCAACATATTTAAATCAGTAATTGCATAAATAAAATGACCAAACAGAGTTGATGATCATGTTATGATTCAACTGAAACTTATGAACAAAAATGTAAAATGTTGAGCCCTGCATTGTTCAATCGTAAAAAAATTATATTTGTCTGTTTAATAACCTTCACCACATGTGAATGTCATGTCTACTGTAAAAATGCTGGTGTGGGGTTATGTTAGCCAAGTGAATGTGCAGCTCGTAAATAAACTGTGACGGTGAATATTGTATTAAAGAATGAAAAAAATATTAGGATAAAAACACACTTAATACAGATGAAATGATACCAAAAAGGAGAAAAAACATACCATTCTTTAAATTTTTTTAAAAGTTTTTTATATTTGTTCTGTATTTTTGTATCATATGTGGGTTAGGATTCGATAAATCTATTGCTTTTTTACAAACCAAAACCATGTAGTCTTGTTGAAAATGTGAAGAATGTTTTATGTGGTTTATACAGTAAAAATGTAAGCATGATCATTTAAGTGACCCAGCTCCCAAGCTTCCTCCACCAAAGCAAGGTTTTTCTAAGGTGCAGCATTAATATCACTTACTACAACTAAATTCACAACCATTACTAAAGACCATAAATACACGTGTACAAAAATAAATAGAATGGTGACCAAAAACAAAAACACAGAAAAGTAATAGGTAATTATATATTAGTCTATACAGAATTTCTTAATCTTACTTCATCCAAATTAATTTCAATGATTCTATCATATTCACAACCAGAGTCAGCTGAGAGCAAGACATCTTTGTATTCATCAGCAAGGTTGGCAATTCCTGAAATTAAATTTAACAAATCTAAGACAGAAGAGGCATAATATAATCTATCAAGGTAAATATAACATAATATTCTTAAATATTCAATAATATTCCTAATATCTGGATGGATGTCCACACTTTTGTTTCTTATCCTATAATGATTTTAACAGAACACAAAAGTATGTAACTAAAACCATGCAAATAAATTTCAACTATACCTACCTTCTCTATTTGTTGCTTTCAGGTAATTCCTCATGCTGTGTCCATATGGAAATACGGAGGTTGTAGCACCTATCTCAGCACCCATGTTACAAATAGTGCCCATTCCTAAAGGTTATAGATAGAAATTAGATGAGCACTTAATTTCTTCCTTCAGTTTCATCTTTAGCTTATTCTAAAAATTAATCCTTGCAAATTTTGATATTAGAAAATTCATAGCCAGCAGAATAATTACAGATTAATCACTAGAATATACCTGTGCAAGATATGGAATCCACCCCAGGTCCATAATACTCCACAATGGCTCCAGTGCCTCCCTTCACTGTCAGGATATCAGCTACTTTCAGGATGACATCTTTTGGTGAAGTCCAGTCCTTCAGTTTTCCAGTCAGGTGAACACCAATTACCTAAAATTTGATCATTTTAAATTTAATGGTTATGAGGAATTAAATAACACATTTATCTATGAAAGTGTAAGTAGCACAAAATAAGACTGTTTTACAAGTAGATAATTTCTGATAGCAATGAATATGGGGTGATGATTTAAACAAGCCAAAACGTAAAACTGTTTTCCACTTATCGTGTTTACGGTAAAAGTGCACGCTAACGGCAACATCAACATCAACGGCAACGGCGACAACAGACGCAGGTGACGACCATATGTACAGACACATCTGTGTCTGTACATGAAAATTGAATTCAAAACAGAGTTTGAGATTTTACTATTTGAACTGAAAAAAGTACTGGTCAGTTAAGTGGTTAAGATACATTATTCTCAAAGAGAGAACTCAGTAAGTGTCAAATGTCTGTTATCACACAAACTGCCCTCACCTGTGGACATTTCAGTTCCCATGGTATGTTGGCCATGACATCCACAGCATCTGCGCCACCTACACCGATACATAAACCTCCAAGTCCACCTGGAAAGCAAGCATAAACTCTGTCCTATTGTTACATCCATGCAAAAAGCAACAGCTTCTGGGGTTACACTACCAGAGCTTTTGGTTTAGAGATATTACCAACTCTAAACAATAACATGATAAAATGGTAAATTATCAAATGTCTTTGATTTTTTAAGCCAAGGTAAGCCATCACAAGCAATTCTAGCATTTTCCCTACTGTATAAAGACTGTCAAAGAATGAATAAAAACATTTAACCTAAGCTAATATCGAGGCTTGTTAACTTGTTTTAACGTCATTATAAAATCAAGTTGTTTACACAAAATTACAATGTTAATATTCCTTTGCAGTGAACATTATTACACTGACCTCCATTTGGGGTATGACTATCAGTGCCAATTAGCAGAATTCCAGGAAACGCATAATTCTCAAGCACAATCTGAAACGGCAGAAAATAAACATCAGTATTTGTAACATTATCAATAGGATAAAACTCACTTAACAAAAAATATATTTATTAATGTAATTTTTTGTTTGTTACATTCTGATAAACGTAGCTGCACCATCTTACAAATTGACATAGGTTTGACAACAGTTCAACAACTTTTTGTACAGCAAAGGAACAACAGATGTAAAATATCATGTTGAATTTAAGACACAATTTTCAAACTTCAACATATACATACCTGATGAATTATTCCACTTCCTGGCTGCCAAAATCCCACACCATACTTGGCTCCAGCCGTACTCAGGAAGTTGTACACTTCTTTGTTAATATCCTATAACAAAGAGAAATAATGAGCACTACTGAATAACAAGAATATAATTGTTTGTGACAATTTACCAGCCATACAAATTAAAAAGATATATTTCTGGGGATTGCCTGAACAAAATACATCTTTTGATATCGGTGAAAGCATGCTCACCTACTTACTTTCACACAATGTTTATTCTATATCATAGTTACTGAAACTTCGATGAGGACAGAAAATTAACTGTTATTATTGCCAGCCACATTTCTACTACTTTTATATATTATCAAATTTAACCTTGTACCTTAGCTTTGGCCAAGTCTTTGTCACCACCCACTTCTGCCTCAATCAAGTGGTCACAATGAATTGTAGAGGGAACAGCTACTTTTGGAAGTCCACTGGAGATGAACTGCAACATGGCCATCTAGACAAAAAGAAAATAATTAGTGAATCTCACACACACACACACACACACACACACACACACACANGAATGAATAAAAACATTTAACCTAAGCTAATATCGAGGCTTGTTAACTTGTTTTAACGTCATTATAAAATCAAGTTGTTTACACAAAATTACAATGTTAATATTCCTTTGCAGTGAACATTATTACACTGACCTCCATTTGGGGTATGACTATCAGTGCCAATTAGCAGAATTCCAGGAAACGCATAATTCTCAAGCACAATCTGAAACGGCAGAAAATAAACATCAGTATTTGTAACATTATCAATAGGATAAAACTCACCTAACAAAAAATATATTTATTAATGTAATTTTTTGTTTGTTACATTCTGATAAACGTAGCTGCACCATCTTACAAATTGACATAGGTTTGACAACAGTTCAACAACTTTTTGTACAGCAAAGGAACAACAGATGTAAAATATCATGTTGAATTTAAGACACAATTTTCAAACTTCAACATATACATACCTGATGAATTATTCCACTTCCTGGCTGCCAAAATCCCACACCATACTTGGCTCCAGCCGTACTCAGGAAGTTGTACACTTCTTTGTTAATATCCTATAACAAAGAGAAATAATGAGCACTACTGAATAACAAGAATATAATTGTTTGTGACAATTTACCAGCCATACAAATTAAAAAGATATATTTCTGGGGATTGCCTGAACAAAATACATCTTTTGATATCGGTGAAAGCATGCTCACCTACTTACTTTCACACAATGTTTATTCTATATCATAGTTACTGAAACTTCGATGAGGACAGAAAATTAACTGTTATTATTGCAAGCCACATTTCTACTCCTTTTATATATTATCAAATTTAACCTTGTACCTTAGCTTTGGCCAAGTCTTTGTCACCACCCACTTCTGCCTCAATCAAGTGGTCACAATGAATTGTAGAGGGAACAGCTACTTTTGGAAGTCCACTGGAGATGAACTGCAACATGGCCATCTAGACAAAAAGAAAATAATTAGTGAATTACACACACACACACACACACACACNATAAAACAAAATGCCAACAGTATACCTGGGCTGTGGCATCTTGCATAGCAACTCTATCAGGACGGAGGCGCAGGTAGCTTTCTCCACGGACAATTTCCTGAAATCGTGAAGAAGAAAGCTTAGTTAATCTTACGCATCACCTGATGTTTGTTAAGAATTTCATTTTTTAGTCTCAAAAGCCACAACTTTTTATTTATCAAGCAGTATTAAGAATACTTTAGTTTTTCAAAACATATCCATGCCTGTAAACCTCACATTTAGAAACTGTATGTTATTTATCTTTTTTTCCAAAAAACTAAAACCTTATTTAGAAAAAGAAAAAGTCCTAATAATACAGTAATATTAGAAATTATAAAATTAAGAAAAATAATTGTAATTATATGTTACTAGTCCTCCAAAATTCATGTGTTTTATCTATTCAAAATAAAATACAAACACTAACAATCTATATCATTCATACATACAACCCAAGACTAGATTCTATTCTTAGGAAGCACTTAATACTAATACTCAAGTATTCATTTACTAGTCTGAAATAGGTTTTTTTATACTGTTTAAAAGACAGTTTTTTCTTATTTTTGGTATTTTCCAATCACTATTTTCTAATGGGTATAATATTTTTTATTATTTTTTATAAGTTTTTTTTTTTGCCATACTTACACATTCTGCTGGTTCATCTAAATGACTGTACAGAACTTTTTCAGACAGAGTGAGTGGTCTGTTTAACCTGAATTTATCAAAATTGGTTACAGTAATTTTTTTTTAAACCTATCAATTTATTCTTTATTCTGGACAAAAACATGCTAAAATGCATTAATTGGAATGATACTAATTATTATACAAAAAAATTTAAGTCCTAAGAGGAAATTCTTTATTCTAAAAAATGTTGAAATGTATAAATGGAAACACAGACAGACAATATGAAAATATTAATTCAACGTACAAGCTCATAACTTACCTTCTTTTCACAATGTCTAAGTTTTGTGCTAGTTTTTCATAGTTCACATAATGATCACCATCAAACCTGCTCATAGGCACCTATGATAAAAGGATTCAAGTATTATTTTACTATCTACAATAGAGTTAAAGACCAATTTCCATTTGAAATACAAGTCTGTTACTGCAAAACCTGCAGTAAAATAAATCAACGTTACAATTATGCCATTAACTTTAAAACAACCACCTTTCCAAACAATATTTGTTTCCTGACATATTTAAACCCAAAAAATGTTTTATTTATATTTAAACACACCTTGGCTGCAAAAAATGCAGATGATCCATGGATATGTCGCACCTGTGCTATGAAACTAACATGCTGAAGCCCCTGGAAATAGTAACAAAAAACTTTCTTTCAAAGTGTAAACCTTACATGTAAAATGCAAAATAATATGTCACCCATGAAGACAAAATGAAACAAGTACTTTCAAAATCTAAAGGCCCTGTTGTTTAAGTATATGAGGATTGTTCATATTTCATCATTTTGTGAAAAAGTGAAAAAATGTCACACTATTTACATGACATGAGCAATATACTGTTGACTTTGGAATTTTATTATATATATATATATATAAAATATTTCTCTTCAATTTCAATTTTAATGTGAGATACAATAATAAACTTGAAAATAAAAAAATCACACACACATAGCATACATCAAAGACTGGTAAAGAAAAAGAAGAAAATCAGTTGTTAAGATATTATTTACTAACAGTATGTAGCGAACTGAAATGCTGTTCTGGTGAAATAGTGCACACCAATTTTATCCCAGGATGTCTTATCAAGGCCACATATATACATTTGTGTACAAATGATAAGGATAACGAAGATGAAGCAGTGCTTGACATGATTACGCATTCACTTGCATGTGTAACTTTTCATCTTCACTAGCAGTAAAACATATAAATACTTCTTACAGAGTAAAGAATTATAGCTATCTGAAACTATATGATCGCATATGAGGGCCATATTTGACCATATTGACCCTTGAACTAGTTATAGTCCCCTATGCTGAATGGGGCCTAAGACAAACTGCACTCCTTCCTTTGGGTTTTTTGTTTATCTCACAAATAGATTGTAATCTCTACACACTTTTAGAACTTGGTGAAATGAGACGAATTCCAAATATACTCGCAAACCCAAACTATTGAGCAACAATGAAATCTAACAGTAATGTCCTAAGGATAGTTCACATGGCCTGCATGCATTACTGACAGATGGGGCAGAAACATTCATCAAAATGACAAACAATAAGTGGTTACTTATCACATACTCTACATAAAAACTTACTCAAAGCTTGGTAAGAATGGTTTTCATGGTGACTTAGTTACCATTACGTTAAACTTTATGTCAATCTAGCTAATAAAACTGCTTTGACCGGCGGAAAATTGTGGATAAGCCGTTTGATCGGAGTGGGTTACTCAATCTGCATTTAAGCGTGATTCTGGGTCAATGGCGTTGTGATACGAAAACTCTATTTTATACAGTGATATCACAAGATACACATATATGCCATAAACACAAATTTTCTAGAAAAAATTATCTTAAATTTACCTTCGTCAAGGACGATCTCAAAAAGTACGCCATCCTCGGCTGCTCTACTAGCTTGACGTCACAACAACTTTTTACCTCCTTTTGCAAAAGATTGATTAACATTCGTGTTGTTGATTAACCAAAGTTAGGCCGGGGCATAGTTAGGATTTCGAAGAGTATCATATATTTCCAGAACATAATTTTCCCCATAAACAGATGCAAAGTTTCTCGAAAATGGATCTTCTACTGATCCAAGACAGCGTATGTGACTGGCGCGACAGCTCTGACGCAAAAATTAATGTCCTCCACAACCTCAGTCCTGTTTCAGATATTTTTTTCTACCCATTTTAAATACTTAATCTTTTTCGGGACGATGAAGCCCCAATCTTATTAAGAATGATAATTCTGTATCTCCATAACTAAACAATAGCACGAGAAGTGGTGCATAAGCGCTTTGATTTTCAGTTTTTCTAGATATAGTTTTGACATTGGTTTGAATTCAAGACTAGCCTATTATATCTGTATGTCGCAATCCAAACATCTTCAATGCATGTTGTTTGCTGTAGATAGGCTAATAGTCAATTATAGGCAGTCTATGTGACTGGCGTGACACTCTGACGCAAAAATCAATGTCCTCCACAACCTCAGTCCTGTTTTTTTTTTTTTTTTTCATCTTTTTTCGGGATGATGGCGTCCGAATCAAATTAAGGGGATAGGCCTACTGTAACTGTGTATCTCCGTAACAAAACAAACGTTTCGTGTACTTTGATTTTTTTTCTAGTTTTGACGTCGGTTTGAATTCAAGACTATTATGTAGGACCCAAAGCATCTGAATTGCATGTCGTTTGCTGTAGCTAATGATCAACTGAACACGTCTTGTGCAGCGTGGATGGATGTGGAAAATATACAGCTTCATTTTAAATGGTGAAGATTACGACTGCGAGGTTGAGAATGTTGTGATTGAATCGAGTTGTACATATTGTTTTTAATTAATATTCCTATCTTTTGGAACTTTCAAATAAAATAATATCCTTTTCCTTAAAATTTTGAATTCATATAACAAATTGATGTTAAAAATTGTTATCATTATCTTGTGATCTATTATACTTGTTTAAGACTTTCTTTCATTCAAAATTCGGATAAAAAATATGTAAGATATGGGAGAAAAACGTAGGCCTAATTAACCAATCATTTTTAAAAATCACCTTTTGTGCTATGGATATCATAGGCCTATTTAGACTTTACTACAAAAAAATAGAACAACAAATTTTTATGCTTCACATATGCTATTTTATTTAATAATTGACATAAATAAAGAAAGAAGAAACAGTGGTCGCTGATCTCCATTGAGACGAGATAGAATGCACTGAATATCACGAAAATGGTGATCATTATCGGACCGAACCTCCTACTGGTTTAGTAGTTGACGGCTCGGTCTTCATATGGCAGCCAAAGTTTCTAGCTTTCAAGAGAATGCATTGGTACACATAAAAAGTCACGAATTTACACTATTACAAAGTTAATGGATTCATTACGCTCCTGAACATGTAGCATGAAGATAAAATACATTGCAAGTAACCAACTGTAAGATGACATTTCGCACCTGTCCCATGAAATCCGCTTGGGCAAGGGGAGCAAAGTCCGAACATAGTATTAAAATTTACAAGTTTAGGCTAATTTATTCAAAACGCAACACTTTCTTCTTTTTGATGCAAAATAATAAATAAAAAAATAAAGACAGAAATGAGGGATCTACACCTTTCCTTAAGATACTATTTATTTTTTTATATTTTATTCTATTTTATATTCACGCCGAGTTCTAGGTTTTCAATTATCAGTTTTTATCACCGGGGTAGGCGTCTTCTACTATGTAAGTGTTTCAGTTAGAATAGGGATGCAAAATTATTTCCGGACAATGTGAGAGTTTCGTTGTATAGGTTATTATTGCTCACCATTGCTGGGCAACAAGTCTTCTATAACCCGATGATAGATAACGTCATTCCGAACAGAAGTCGACCCTTAATATTGACTCAGCGTTCATTTTAATGAATCTTCAGACATATAGTTTGTACCAGACTGCAGTATGCCTTTTGCATTGTCTTTCCATTACTGGATGCTTGATCTCGTATCTCCATACGACCATTTCTCATATCTAGGGCTTCCTCTAGTGTCGAGATAAATTCTGCGTTGTCAGGATTTGTGCGAGGGTGGAAACGCTTTAAAGGAAAACCGCGGTGGTCCACGAGGAATTTTTCAAAGTTCCAACGTATGTCCTGGCTTCTTTTAGGTTGGTAAAAAAGCTTGTCGTCTGTCGCAAAATCTTCCACTGTGCTGTCACATCGAGTCTAAAAAAAGCAATCCAAAATATCAAGTTAATGGTTGCATGCACGGTTAAAAATGTAATCTGCTTCCGTTTTCCTCCGCAAATCTGTACCAAGTAATATGTAAACCATATTTACATCCGCCCTCCCCCTTTAACACAAAATAATCTATTGAAAAATGGGATAAATTAGGCATAATACAGTACAAAGTATAGAAAACAAGCTTCTTTGGGTCTCAGGGAGTATTTTCTCCTCTTTTTTTCTTTGCAGGACTGGGTTCTTAACAAACCACTTTGTTTCAGAAGATGTTGTCCAAAAATCCTTTCTTCCAATAACATCCACTATTTCATTTCTCAATTTGGGCACGTGTTATGCATATTTACCTTTAGATATGTGTACAGGGGATTTTCGTTTATTCCATTAACTTCAGTTTTCGTAAACATCTGGAAATTTGGAGTAAAGCCATGCCCAGGCCGCACTTCTTTGATTCCGTTCCAGATTTCTGTCGCGTTCCTACCAGGTTCTTGCTACAACAAATAAACCATACTTGTGAAATATGATGCTTACAATTTCCAAGTATAGAATTTTTCCATTTAATTCATGTTTAATAGAGAATGGCTCTCTAGCACAAAATACATTTGATACTTGAAACTTACATGTAGCATAACTGCCAACATAACAGCGGTCGGTATACGTATTTCATAAACACAAGCGCTTTGAATTCATTGTAATTTAAGGCAATAAATGTGATTTTCAGGAAATTTGATTGAAGGATTTTGTGGAGAAAAAAATAAACACAAATTAATTTTTCTTCTAAAAAAATTACCATTCCAAACTGGTTACACGGGAAGGCGAGTACAGTTAGTCCCAGAGGGCTGTATTTGGTTTGTAGTGCATTCAAACCGTGATACTGTGATGTCAAACCTCAGTAGGTAGCCACATTGACGATCAACAACACATTCCCACGGTACCTGAAGAAAATTTTAACGTTTTTTTTTAAAAAGCGCATGAGGTTGAAAGAACTGGACCACAACTACCAGCCTAAAAAACTCTTTAAGGAGCATTAGTTTGAACGTTTTGAAAAGGCGAAAGAGAGAGAGAGAGAGAGAGAAACAATGAGAGAGAGAGAGAGTCAGCCTACTTCTTCACCTGGACAATGAAATCTCCTCTCCTGTCAACAGACTATTTTGCTTGAAAGCATATACAGTTTTGTCATCCTTACGACGACACAACTTCGGCGGCGACACAGCCCACACCCCAACTACTGCCGCTAGAAGCAGTAGCAGCGACGTCTCCATCCCCAATAGTTCGACTTGTGCTCTCCGCTACACTCTGCAAAATCTCGTTTAAAAGTACAGTTTCAGTACAAACTAAGATTATTTGTGGGAAGACGAAAACTGTTGGTTGATTGGATGGGGTTTATTATGAAACTTACTAGCAACAGATTCCACAACCCTTTTTTTTCGCATCGCATTGTTGCACGTGACGATGCCCTGATTTCAAAATCAGCAAGCAATGCGTCTTAACAAGAACCAGTAGGCCCTATTGCTGTGTACAAGTAACAGCATCTTTACTCATAATAGGCAAAAAAAAACTTGTCCAGTGCTCCTTCAACAGAAATTAGACATGGCAAGAGAAAATGCAAAACAGCGTGACAAAATGAACAACCGTTTATTATAACTGTTGATACTTTTTGTAACTGTTTCCAGAACTCCTCCACGGGAGGCCCTCGCACTTTCATGTGGAAATTGCAACTGGAGCTACTTTATTGACATAACTTCAAAGAACACTGGAAACTACCTCTCTACTTTTATGCAGCGGAGAAACTACAATTAACACAGTTTTTCCGCTTCGAGACTACATGATATATAGTTTCAGTTACTTGATATATAGCTTCAGTTACTTGACCTTGCACATTATCAAAGAGCACAGCTAAGGACTACAGCTGAACACATTTTAACCTCCAGACCCAAACGTCGATTTTAATAATTCTAAAAGCTAAAAATGATACCAGGCTTTTCATATTTTTCCATATACGTGTTTAAGTGTCCCTCCCTAAGTTAAAGAGCTACATATGTACCCTGTTCTCAGGATACTCTCCCGTGGGCCCTCAAATGCAAAACGTGACAGAACCGACCAATTTTTTTTTTTTTTTTTTTTTTTTTTGGTGTTTTGGAGGGAAAACGGTGACTATGATTCGGTTAGTCAAAATTCTCATTTCAAGAGGGGAATATTAGTATGATTTTTTTCAGAAACCGAAGATTGGGGGGGGGGGGTGTTATAACCCCTCTGACTCCTCCCTAAATCCGCTACAGATTAATCCACCAACCTGACTTTCAAACGCTTCCAGAAGCCCGACATTGATCCAACATCATCCTTACCATCAAGTTTCAATTAACACTCGCTTGTTATAATCCGATGGTTTAACTTCAAGCCGAGGTCTATCGCTGCACATCGCAATTTTTAACTGCAAATTAATACACATAGCTTTGGTGTGGGCTTTAGCAATCAATGGCTTTTCAAATTACCCTTACTGGTATATTGCATTTTCACTCGCAGTCCTTTAAAAGATTGATTTGGGATGTAATACATGTACATGTATGTATAATGTAATGATTATGTGAAGTTTCCGTTTTTAGATATCATAGCATCTACGTTAAATAATTGGCTAATTTTCACCATCCAAACTTTTAAACGTGTATTTATATATATATTAATTTGTTTGTTTATTTATTTGTTTATTTATAATGACCACTGGGTGAACTTTTTATCTTGCCTCTGCATGTTAATCTGAGTAGGCATACCAAAATTTTTAATCCTTTCTGTGTCAGCACTATGAACATGGTCTTTGTCAATTTTGTATTTCTGATTACAACAATAAATGTACACGTGAACAATGTATTTTTTCGTGTTACGTAGTAGAAGACGCCTACCCCGGTGATAAAAACTGATGAATGAAAACCCAGAACTCGGCGTGAATATAAAATAGAATAATGCGGATTCCTCCTTTCTGTCTTTATCTTTTTATTTATTATTTTGCATCAAAAAGAAGAAAGTGTTGCGTTTTGAATAAATTCGCCTAAACTTTTAAATTTTAAGACTATGTTCGGACTTTGCTCCCTTTGCCTATGCGGATTTCAAGATACAGGTGCGAACTGTCATCTCACAGTTGGTTACTTGCAATGTATTCTATCTTCATGCTACGTGTTCAGGAGCGTAATGAATCCATTCACTTTGTAATATTGTAAATTCGTGACTTTTTATGTGTACCAATGCATTCCCAATCTAGAAACTTTGGCTGCCATTTCCGATTCCTGGTGAAAATTGCACTCGAGGACTCCTGTGGGCCATCGTAAAAAAGTGTGTAGCTCCTCTTGGTTAAGAGGTCAAGGTCAAAGATGGCGGAGAAACGAGAGGGTGAAGTGATTGCTGATGAAAATGAGTCTAAAAAGAAGAAACAAACACGAGTATGGATGGATGGATGGTATGGAATGTTTTTATATTTTGGGTTGTGGTGGGTTTCAATTCAAATATTTTGAAATAGGGGATCTGCTTATGTGAACTTTGTGTCAGATCATTTTCGAGTAGGAAATATTATTCCTGTCGGCTTTTGATAGGTATATCAGAAAAAATTTCAAACTGATCAGAAAATTATAATACTGATATCTTATGAAAGGTAATGCAAAAAAAAAAACAGATGAATTCTTTTGGAATTTCTAAAATATTCCTACAAGCAACAAAGATATTGAAGTTTTTTTTATTAATTTTTAACTGCTAAATTTCACCAGAAGATTCCACAGTTTTCAGCTAAAAACCTGTGACCACTAACCAGCAGTGATCACTCAACTGCAGCAGAGCAGCCTGTAAATGGGCCTTTGGCTCAAATTGCTTGTGACCAATTAAGACAATTAGGGCTCTATGTAAATCTAATGACCCAGAAACAAAACCAAAATGGCGACCGCACAAGCACATGGCTGGGATGGCTTCTGTGCAGATCATGTACTATAAATATTGCGCATCAAATAAACTATGCTTCGCATGGTTCAATTTTCATGATTTTTCGCCATAATATTGCAAATTTCATGAACTTTACATGGCATTAATTACAAAAATTTCCATGCAGTACTTATCTGAAATTTCAAACATTTCGTCAAGGCAAAACTTCAAAACATCGGCTCATCGACTGTCATCTGCCACCTGTGAGCAGGCTGTTAACAGCTTTCCCCAGCACTACGGTTGGATAGGTTCTACTATAGCGCCCCTAGCGGATTGTGATATACCTACTTTTGATTGTTACTGCAGTAGATAATTTCTTTACCATATATCATAGAGAGAATGAAACGAAACGCAGAGGTACGTTGCGCAAATGTCTTTGAAACTGGTTCTTTGTAATTCAGCTATTTCACTGGACATGCAATTTTACACTTAGATAGCTACACATCTGAGTTTGAATAAACCGTTTAAATTTTTATCTCATTTAGATCAAAAGTAATTCAAGTTTAAGTGACACAATGTCTGTCATGTTTTTCAGATATCAAATTCAAAAATGAGTCAAAGTTACCCCACTTGATTTTCACTCCCCTAAATAATGCCATAGGAACTTGAAATGTATCATTTAGTAAAGCAGCTAGGCATGAACCAGGGAATTATATTGTAGACTACGATATAATTCCCTGGCATAAACATACAGCTAGCTAAGATTTGATTCTAGGATTTTTGTTTGTCCTTACAGATTTTTATTTACAACCTCTCTGAGATGGTCAGAATAATGTCCATGTGGTAGTACTAGCTGTTCTTAGTCATATTCAAATACAGTTTCAGTTCCCAAAGTAGTAGTTGCAAAGCAGCATGCAATAAAAAATGAATAGATGTCTGATACTCTGGGGGCACTTTTTATGGCTGTTTATGTGTATTACCGTATGTGCTCCCTACTTTGAGTCACTGGAGTGCTTAATGTTTAACTTCACAGTTTGTTCTCTTGAAATATACAGTACATTTAAGATGTGAAAAATGAAATTGAAGAAGAAAAAGGTAGCAAATGAGACTGTGACAACTATGGTGATGTGAGATTTGGGGAATCGGACCAGCTGTCTTTTGCTCTCTTACTTTATGACTTTGATTTTGCTTATTGCAGCTTTGACATGGTACATTTTGGACATGCCAATGCTCTTAGGCAAGGTAAAATGATGGGAGATTACCTCATAGCTGGAGTACATTCCGATGGTGGGTACACACATGAAAGTTCTTCAGTACACTATCTTAAGTTCAGGAACAATGGTTATGAGTCCACAAGCAAGGGTTTAGCCAGCAAGCTGTCCAGGTGTTGTTTAAAGATGACCTATTTTATGGCTGGACGTCATGTTAAAATTCTTGCTACGTATTCCTTTTTTGTTGGTAAAACATGCTTTAACATTTTTGCATGCTAGTAAAATGTTTATCTTTGCCATTTAAACAGAAGAAATATCAAAACACAAAGGACCTCCAGTTTTCAATGAAAGAGAAAGGTACAAGATGGTGCGAGCCATAAAGTGGGTTGATGAGGCAAGTGGTTATCATTATGGTCCAGAATGAAATAACAAAATCATCAGAGGGACATCTCATCAAGAAGTCCTTCTGTTAATATGTAATTAGTGATATTAAAATACCTTTGTTACATGTTACCTGTTTAAAGATCTTCCTCTGTGTTTTTCATTTTAATTGAATCTTGCGATATAACATCTAAAACAAAGTTGATTCTTTTTTTTTTGTTAGATTGTAGAAGATGCTCCCTACATTACCCAGATTGAAACTCTGGACAAATACAACTGTGACTTCTGTGTGCATGGAGGTGAGTTGTTGCACCTGGTATGAATTAGATATAACGCTGACAGTTTGCCAGTGAATAGACCTGAAATTTTCCTGTGCTAATTTTTTTCAGTTTCATGAAGTTTGATGAAGTTAGATTGTGTAAAAAGCCAATTAATTCATACCCTGAACTGTACACAATTGCTGTTCAAAAGATCACTTGAATAGAGATTTAAAAAAAATTTTGAAACTGAAAGCTGACACTGTTATATTCACTTTATATTTGTTTTTATGAAACTTAATGGGTTAATTTTGTATTTTAGATGACATCACTGTATCGGCAGATGGAAAAGATACTTATCATATAGTGAAAACTTCTGGAAGATACAAGTAAGAGGCTTAACTTGGTGTCACCTCTGTAATTTTATTCATAGTGTCTGGTTGAGGAAATGAATAATCTTGTTTGAATTATATTTATTGTTGCAGTTTTTGGAATGTGCATTTAAATTGTAAAAATGAAGCAATTTTATATTTGAATTCTAAACTTGATTTTTAAATTTTTCACAGAGAGTGTAAAAGAACTCAGGGTGTATCTACAACAGATCTTGTTGGAAGGTATGGAAGTTTGTTCATTGTAACAAACCAAAATGTAATTATTTTTCCAATATTTTCTAAATTGTGATAGTTGAATTACAATGTAAAAAGATTTTATTTGACATTCCCCTACTTTTCACTTTGATTGTTTGTTGACAGGTGAAGAATGATGTTAAACCCAAGTCATTTTCTGTACTTTACTCTGCTTTATCTTTCACAGAATGTTGTTGGCAACAAAATCTCATTTTCAACATGATGATAATGTGGATAAAGGCACAGTTGAACAAATTGCACAGGTAAATATTCAAATACTAAATTTTTTAATGGTGAAAAAGGAAATTTTTTTTAAAAAGTAAGTCATTGTTGTTAACCATTTTTACATTGCATGACATTAAAATCTAGTATTAAAAGAAAAAAAAAAAAGAAAAAAGGGCTTCATTAGTTGCTTTTAAATTGAAATATGAAAGAAAGTAATATGAAGAGACGCATATCGGTCCAAGATGGTTTGTCTAAATGAAACTAAAAATCCACGATCACTGTTTTTGCCAAAGGACAAGAGTGCAAAGAGTCCATGGACTGGGACCTGTCACTTCTTGGCAACCACACAAAAGATTATCCAGTTCTCTAATGGCAGGGAACCAAACCCCGGTGAGAAGATAGTCTATGTGGCTGGTGCTTTTGACCTGTTCCGTATCCTTGGCTTTGTTGTTACAAGAAAGTACATGCCATGTTAATATTATTGGTGTTGTCAGGCTATTTTCTAAATTAAAATGTTTAAGTCATAATAACTCTTCATTTTGGCCAAAAATTGGATTTTCCTGGAGTAAACGGCAATTTTCCCGTACTTACCAATGGGCAGCGACCCCATTCCTGCATTCAAAGTTAATCCAGGGTTTTTTTCCTAAACGTACGGTTTTTTGTTAAAATCTCTTAAGAGATTTTAACTGACGGAGCTCTCTCTGACATCGCATAGTCACTGTTGACCTACTTAAAACCGCGGGAAAAGCAGACAACAACAACACTATATAAGATTCATGAGATATATTCGTCTTTTTGTTAAAAATACATTAATATCCACAATGTGTGCCATTCTGGGCTTTTCGTTATCCGACGCACTGTACAAAAACTCGCAACTTACGTCTGCGTCTGCATTAATGCGTTTGGCGCCATATGTTATTTTGGTCTCGAATGAACCCGAGAATCCATGTGACACCATTACGTCATTAGCAACGAATGCCTTGATGACCGGGAAGAAAAGCATCGAAAGCCCTATTGACAAGCACAGATTTTAGTTTTACTACAATAACGGCCGTTTTAGTGGTAAAATACAATAGAATATATTTCCATGCGTTGTTTACAATGTATTTCATGCGGAATTTTGAATCTCAAAGGAAGAGTTATTATTGCTTTAACATGAAGATTTCAAATTTTTGCAATTTGCAATTAAAGTAATGCTGCTGTTTTTAGATTATATAATTTATGTCTAAATCCATATAACTTGTGCTTTGCAGAAAAACAGATATATTGAATATTGTATTCACATATTGCATCAGAATTGGTTCTGTTTTCTGTTGTTCTTCTTTATCAGTATATTAAGATGTGGGACTGCTGGATTTTCTGGAAAAGGTCTCTCAGCAAGGTGACTTTGTGATAGTAGGAATCCATACAGACCAGGTATGATTATCTTATGAAATGGTTTGCAAAATACACAACTTCTACAACTATTTGGTGCAGCTTTGCAAAAATTTACTGCTTAAACATTTTGTATAATGGACTTTTAAAGTACTTCTTCTTTTACAAAATCTATAGTTTACTGTCATTGTGGATTGTTTATATTGAAATGAGAGTACCAGGATTATTTTTATTTTAATGTACATATTGATACAGCTACATGGTTTTGTCATTTGAAATATTCCAGGCTGTTAATAGGTACAAAGGGAGAAACTACCCGATAATGAATCTTCATGAAAGAGTTTTATGTGTTCTTGCTTGCAAGGTAAAGAAACCATTACCTATTGTTTGGATGAATAAAATTGCTCTTTCATAATTTAATGTACTTGCTTTATTTAAGATTTAAATAAACATTTTAGATATGCAGATATGCAGTATCAAAACTTAATAGTTTTGAAAAAAAATAATTGTCTTTTCATAATGATAATTTTGTTTAAACACACACATTCTAATTTGGTTGTGCTAACACTAACTTCCTTTACCAGTATGTATCAGAAGTAGTCATTGGAGCACCATATGAAGTAACAGCTGACCTTATGGATCATTTTAAAGTAAGAAATTATGTTGAGTGACAGTTGAAAAACAATAGATAAGACTTATGTACACAAACACGTAATTTTGTTTCTCTTAAATGGCTTCAAATTTCTGATGGAAACATAAAATTAAAAGGTTTTGTGGTACAGTTAGTGGAGGCTTTATAGCAAGCATGCTAAAAGTGATACATGCAGTTATACAATGCAAATAATATAGAAACATTTTGTCAGCATGTCTTTTTTATGAAAAAAAAAAATGATTCTTTCTTATTGTAGGTGGACTTGGTTTGTCATGGTAAAACTCCCATAATGCCTTGTGCAGATGGCTCAGATCCATATGCAGTAAGAATAGCAAAATCAGTGTTCTCCATAATAATATCTAACATTCTAACATTCTTTACAGAATAATTTTGATTGTTTAAATGTTATATTGTATGAGCAAAAATGTTGGTTTTAGGTCACATGCTCTAATGATCTAATGCACAGATTTTTGTAAATAGATGTCATATGTCAAAATGTCAAAATTATTGTAATAACTGGTTAGTGATAGCCCAGATAATATTATGATTTGTTTTGATTATTGTAGGTGCCCAAGTCAAGAGGGAAATTTAGGGTTATTGATAGTGGTAATGAATTAACCACAATGATGATAGTAGAAAGAATTATTAAGCACAGGTAAATCAGAGGTTTATTTGCATTCATCAACGATTGAACAGTTAAAACTGTCATGGAATCTGTCACATTGTCCTGCTGACCTTATAGATCATACTTGATCGACTTGACGAGTCGAGAAACTTTAACATTTTCTTTTGATTTTTAGGAAGTGGTTTTTGTGTATGATGTACAAATAATGTGCTGTTACTCAATCTGAAGGATTTATACTTTCATATATAATTTTTTCGTCTTGAAAAAGCTTGAAACATTTTTTCAAGAAAATATCAGTGTTTTTATTATTATTTTTTTTAGACTGGAATACGAAGAACGTAATAAGAAGAAAGAAGTGAAAGAAGCAAAAATCATGGCAGCATTGTCAAATGGAGGTGATAAGTAATGTGAAACCTTTGAATTGTGATCTTCCATAAATGTTTTTTGAACAGTTTAAAACTGTTTGGTGCCAAACTGTTATATATACCATTTGAGCTAAAGTGGATCAAAAACATTGGCATTTCTATTGTCTTATATATGTATGTGTAAACCTTGAAATGTGTTGGTGATGTATTATTATGCATGTATATTCTAAATGTTGGGATTTTACCAGCAGTGGTTGATTAGTGGTGTATAACTTACTTTTGATTTAGATTTTGTAAATTTTTGCCGTTTATGTTTTTAAAAATTTTTTATATAATTTTAGACTTAGTGAAAGATATGTAATCAGAATTTCAAATCCATAATTGCTGTGACAAAATGAGTGTTATTACACTTTTAAGAAGTGCAAGAAGTTGCTGGATACAGTAAAATTCCATGAAATGGATGTGTAACCCTGCATTGGTCCATTACTAACCAAATTGCTGTGCCAATGTTTCTGTGCAATTAAGAATTTGTATTTCTTATTAGTCATTTATAAATATCCTGTGAATTTAGTCTGAAAAAAAGAGAATTAATACATGGTCATCTTTGGTGGTGGCAATACATGTATGCAGAATTTATGTGGGAAGAGGAACCTAGTCAACAGTAAGGTTTCTTTTAAATATCCCTGCATTGATTTTAAAGCCTGAAATTACTTCTTATTATGTGTAATGTTTAAGTAATTTTAAGATCATTTAATTTAGTCGGTTCTGTCATTGTCTGTTTATCAATATTGCATGTGTAGATATGTATTTGTGGGTATGGGCCTTATGGTGAGAAACAATACCATCACAAAAAGGGAAGTTAGTAGGTGGTTAAAGAAGTAAAATGATACTGATTTGCTATATTTCACATTTGAATTAATGGATCATTTGGTTGCTTTTTTAAAGAACAGTTCAACACATGTTCACAAACTTTGTATTCATATTAAACCATAAACTTTTTGTTTAGTTTATATGGTTTACAATAAACTTTTGATAATCATTTTGCTAAGATTTTTATAATAATGAATGTGAAAACAATCATTTTCATCTTATCTTTAAGCCTGCTGCACATGGGAGTTGTCTTGTTTATGGAAAGTTTATTTGTGGCACTTGCCCTAAGGGGAAAGCTCTCTGGTGTGGTGTGATTATTCACCTTTTGAGGTGGTCAATATCTGTTGATTTTTTTTAATGTCAGGTCTTCAGACTTTAAAATTGGGGATAAAATAGAAGTGTCAATGTCTAGAATCACCAATAAATTAAATCAAACAGGTAAACATAACTAGACAGAAACCAATGCAGTTTCTCTTTTATCCATGTGAGATGAAAATATCAAACAGGACACATACTGGCTACAGCACCTCAAAAGGTGAAGTCATTTGTTAATAACTGTAAGGTTAAGGTAAGCCCCACAAATGAACTTTTCTGTAAGCAGAATGCTCCAGATTTGGAGGGCTTTATGTCACTGATAATATCTGGCAATAACTCTTGCCTGGTACAAATTGCAACTCGGAATATAATTGTAGATTAGCATGTAAAAAAAGGAAAAACCCCTGTCAGTTGGACAGATCATTAGCATCTTGTCATTGAGTGTGTTTATTTGCCACATTTGTACAAGATTACAGTTGCAAAATTCCATAGATCAAAACTACAGCTGTAAGGTCTTTATCTATGGATTTCTTGAGCTTGGAACAAAAATGCTTTGAAAGTTAAAAAGTGTTAAAATGTTTTATTTTGTAACAATTCATTAATAGCATGATTTATGAAATGTAGCCAGAAAACTCAAAGTTTGTTTTCTTGCAAGCATAGACATAAACAGTACACACATGAACAAAAATTCCCTCAAATTTGTAAGGCTACATAATTCAACAAAACTTGAGCAAATGATCAATGAGTGATTTGGCTGGTATGAACAAAACCTTCCTTGTCATGATTTGTTGTTTAAAAAAATGCAGCAGTATACTCTGTTAACATAAGATTTTGGTGCATATTGACAATAAACATTGACATTTACATCCTACTTGCACATAAAATGTCACATCCCTCCTAAAAAAAGTAGCTGGCCCAAATTGTACTTTAAAACAAATGGTGACAGCATCTGGGTATATGGGTATGCATATGCATCATACGTAAATTATATTAAATTAAGAGTACTTCAATACAAGTACAACCTGTCAAAAAGTAACACAGTTTTCACCATGCAAAACATCACTGTTGATTGCAGTAAAAGATCAAAGACAGAGATTGTCATAGAAGAATAATGTCACAATATCAATTGCATCTCACACTAGCAAAGAGGCAATCCACTGCATAAGTCCATTTTTATAGAAGGCAAGGGTTCATGAATAAGTTGGTAGGTGCTTTTTTCCAAATTCCTCACCACTGGCTTATGTAGTCAGTTGACTGAAAGAAGAATAGACATCAGGATATTTTTATATTTCAGTCAAAAAAAGTAAAAGTATGAATATGCAAAATGGTTTAATAATTCCATTTTTATATAAATAGCCAAGAAATATAAATCCAGAATTTTGAATGCATTAATATTAGGAAAAGAACTGATAGTATCTGAATCAAAATAGTACGTCAGTTTGCCAAACTGAGTGCAGAGTTATCTTCTAGCCAGGCATGATAGCTTGAAATACTATGTTATGGGAATCATAGGACAGATTTTATTATTTATGTACAGAACAAAAATGCCTTTCAATTCTTCAGAGAAAATGAAGGACACTTACTGAGTATCTGAAAGGTATCTTTGCAGAATATTCTTGAGCCATCATCCTGCTGTGTTCTTTCCTTCTTCTCCTAAAACATGTGAATAAATAAATATGTTAATGGAGTCAAAAATTTAAATTAATGCTTACTTAAGAGTAGCCAGAAATAGTTCAGTCTGGCAAATTGAGGGTATTCACTTTAAAGATTTCTATGAGCAGGGGAAAATATTATCATTGTCAAGGTGTCCAATATATGAAAACTATGATCTACATGTATATTATTAAGCTTATTTATTCATAGTCATAGTACTATTCAATTAAAAAAATAGGTTAGTCTAACTAACATGTCCTCTGATTCCCTGGTGTGCTTTACTGGACTTGATTGCCTCTGAGTGGCTTGAAGTTGTTGTTCATAGCTGCTCATAGGACGTCCTGCATAACCTCCCTGTTGGAAATGGTTTTGGACACGCTGGGCAGCAGCAGCTTCCTGGAGCATGAATAAAATATTATTAGCTGAGGGAGACTTAAAAAATGTAATATAAATACTACTACTACTACTTATGAATAATAATTATAACCAGCATAAAGTATCCTGTACAAAATCACAGAAAAGTCATTTGTGTCTAACAGTCTTACTATAATAAATAGATGAAGGTATAATAAGTAAAGCAAAGTAAAAATGATTAATAATTATTTGAAAAATATAGAAAAAAATTGCTGGTATCAAAAATGTTCTACATATGTTAAAATTTTGAGTAAAATAATTGACAGTATATGAATCAAACAGTATGTTAGTTTGCCAAACTAACTGTCTGAGCTATCATCAAGCCGTGTTTGTTTGATTTTTTCCGTCTGACATAAAGCACAAAATGTTCACTTAAATTGCCACAAGTTACAAATTCCCAAAAAGCAATTAGGCATTGATGGTTTTTGTTGACCAGCTACTGAATTTGCCAACTCTTGTTAATATTTGCATGATTCAAATAGAAAATTTTCCACAAATATACAGCATAAAAACAGCAGTGCTATTCTATTGATGTAAACTTCAATAGGAAGACTGGTACATGGTAACAATCAATATAAAAATTTGTTAACCAACAACAAAGGGGTGAAAATCAATTATTTTCATACATAACTTATGCATGGTATAAATTCTTGATGCTGTGATGCTTATTATACCATTGAAAAGTCAATAGACTTTATTACTTCAAGGTACTTTTTTTTCTAACTTTGCTCTGAAATAGTGCTCAAACTATCTGGGGTTTTAGTGATCCCCCAAACCAGAAGTTTTGAAGTCAACTTTAATTGTTCAAATTATCCGAATACTGAGGTCATAGTGTCTCAATTTTGCTTCATTTTACCATGACAAATGTCAAAAGAATCAAAGTGATGCAGATTGTAGGAAGTACAGGTATATCCGAGTTGAACCTACCTCTGATTGTTTTTGAAAGTACGCATTTCGGAACAGAAAACGTTCTCGTCTGCGTGCTTCATTATGCTCATTAATCCCTGATGCTGCCATAATGAAGCCTGTGGAAGGAAGAAATTAGTTTTAAAATTGATAAGAGAATACAATGTATAATATTTGCGCGAATGCTTGTCGACTCTCGAACCTGTGAAGAATATATCGATATCTATGTTTTTTGTTTAATTTTGCTGGATTTCACGTATGAATAAAAAATAGTTTGTAACCTTAGGTCATAAAGGATGCATTTTTTAACTATTTTATAATTGACTTATGTATAAAGCTTGTAAATGCTGGAAAATTAGATACGTGTTACCTACCGCAAGCGATGGAGTTTTATGGTGTTGGTTGCCTAGCACGCAGGCTGTGGCCTTTGACCTTAGATCGATAAATATCAATCTCCATTGAGTAAAGAGTTCCCAATCAAGATCAAAACCGCGAAAGAATGACACGTTGGTGTCAGCTAGTTTCTTCAAATTAAGTCGTGTTTAAATGTTTTTTTAGCAAATGTATGCCGTGTCTGCATGTCATATTTTGGATCCTAGACTCGCGTCGACGCTTTAGCTGTACTGTCTGTGAAAAGGATCGAACGACAGACGGCAATATTATTTATTTTTTAACATATACTTTTTAACGAGTAAAGCTGCTTTATTTTGGGGTTGCCCCTTTTATTTATTTATTCATTTATATTTATTAATATTTTTTTTGGGGGGGGAGGGGGGGAGTGGGTGGTGTGTGGGTGAGGAATAACCCACGTACACAATTTGGGCGAATTTTTAACTGGTAAGCATGGAAACAACTTTTTTCCTCTTGGGATTAGTCTTAAAGTTTTTCCACTAATCAATGCATTTTTTTCCATTTGGAAAAATTAAGAGTGAAACAAATTAGAATTCATCAAAATAAGGGTCAGCCACATTTTTAAATAAAAGTTTATCAATTTTGTCTGGCCTTAGTAACAAAACTACTACATGTTTATATACTTTGCATTTGATTCAATACGCATTCACCAAAATTTTGAATTTTCATTGATGGAATTCACTACCTTCGTATCTAGAATTGAGTGTTACTTTAAAAGCTGAAATAATTGTTCCATTAGATCACCAAAAGTTAAGTTTATAAAGCTGTGTTTTTTATTTTTTTAATTTTTTCCATTTTGGATTTTGTTGATTAATTTTTCAGTAATTTTAACACATTTGTTAATAGGTTGAAAAGTTTCATTTTAACCTGGATGATGTCGCTTTTTCTTATATGAGAAGAATTTGAAATGCTGAGTTCATTAACAAAAATGTGATTGTGAGTAGCACCAACTTAAAGGAATTATTATTATAATTTTTTTTATTATTATTATTATTATTATTTTACCAATAGATTATTAGGCCCATACTGTGGGCTATAGCCAAAGATGGGTGGGGTGTGTGGTTGTTTGGAACATACTGCCCTTTTGCCAGGGAAAAGTCCAGTCTGTATCAAAATTTGATCTACAGTGGCTTGTTATGAATACATGTAGGGAGCATTCCCATAAACCTATCATACTAGCAGGTTCGATCTAATACCCTGTTTACACTACAGTCATTTATTTGAATAAATAGCAAATTAGGTCCCATTTCAAATAATTGCAGTAGTCTGAACACGGGAGTATTTTTGTTAAGTGATTTCTCAAAATCCTACTAGCATGTTAGATTTTCTTCAGTGATTTGAACAATTTACCAGAAGTGACACCTGTTTAGATCTTACTGGGCATGTGGACAGAAGAGTGCGGGTATCTATGAACACTTGTTTATCACTTTAGTGATTGCACCAAGCAAATCGTATTTTTTCACCAGAAATCTGAATTTGAAAAATCTGGATTTATCAGATGGCAGTGTGAACGGGGTATAACTGTGCAGGGATTCTCGTTAAATTGCAATCAGTGTGAGTTGCTTAAATGTCTGGCAGGCCAACTCAAGCTGCTGATAACATTGAAATCACTTAAGTGAGAAGCCCTGCAGAGCTAGATTGGTCCAGCTAGTATGATCAGTTTATGGGAACGCAGTCATAGATCTCATGTTAAAAGGGTAGACTTTTTTCTGAAAAAAAAAAAAAAACAACTTTGAAACTGAGCAATGGCTACATGTCTGCTTATTGGCTTAATTATTTTGATATTATGTTCTCAAGTCAATGGATTCCTCAGTAGTGGCAGTATCATGGGGCAGATAAGGACTACCTGAGGGTCTGGGTCTTTANCACCAGAAGATTCCACAGTTTTTAGCTAAAAACCTGTGACCACTAACCAGCAGTGATCACTCAACTGCAGCAGAGCAGCCTGTAAATGGGCCTTTGGCTCAAATTGCTTGTGACCAATTAAGACAATTAGGGCTCTATGTAAATCTAATGACCCGGAAACAAAACCAAAATGGCGACCGCACAAGCACATGGCTGGGATGGCTTCTGTGCAGATCATGTACTATAAATATTGCGCATCAAATAAACTATGCTTCGCATGGTTCAATTTTCATGATTTTTCGCCATTATATTGCAAATTTCATGAACTTTACATGGCATTAATTACAAAAATTTCCATGCAGTACTTATCTGAAATTTCAAACATTTCGTCGAGGCAAAACTTACAAACGGCTCATTGACTGTCATCTGCCACCTGTGAGCAGGCTGTTAACAGCTTTCCCCAGCACTACGGTTGGATAGGTTCTACTATAGCGCCCTTAGCGGATTGTGATATACCTACTTTTGATCGTTACTGCAGTAGATAATTTCTTTACCGTATATCATAGAGAGAATGAAACGAAACGCAGAGGTACGTTGCGCAAATGTCTTTGAAACTGGTTCTTTCTAATTCAGCTATTTCACTGGACATGCAATTTTACACTTAGATAGCTACACATCTGAGTTTGAATAAACCGTTTAAATTTTTATCTCATTTAGATCAAAAGTAATTCAAGTTTAGTGACACAATGTCTGTCATGTTTTTCAGATATCAAATTCAAAAATGAGTCAAAGTTGCCCCACTTGATTTTCACTCCCCTAAATAATGCCATAGGAACTTGAAATGTATCATTAAGTAAAGCAGCTAGGCATGAACCAGGGAATTATATTGTAGACTACGATATAATTCCCTGGCATAAACATACAGCTAAGATTTGATTCTAGGATTTTTGTTTGTCCTTACAGATTTTTATTTACAACCTCTCTGAGATGGTCAGAATAATGTCCATGTGGTAGTACTAGCTGTTCTTAGTCATATTCCAATACAGTTTCAGTTCCCAAAGTAGTAGTTGCAAAGCAGCATGCAATAAAAAATGAATAGATGTCTGATACTCTGGGGGCACTTTTTATGGCTGTTTATGTGTATTACCGTATGTGCTCCCTACTTTGAGTCACTGGAGTGCTTAATGTTTAACTTCACAGTTTGTTCTCTTGAAATATACAGTACATTTAAGATGTGAAAAATGAAATTGAAGAAGAAAAAGGTAGCAAATGAAACTGTGACAACTATGGTGATGTGAGATTTGGGGAATCGGACCAGCTGTCTTTTGCTCTCTTACTTTATGACTTTGATTTTGCTTATTGCAGCTTTGACATGGTGCATTTTGGACATGCCAATGCTCTTAGGCAAGGTAAAATGATGGGAGATTACCTCATAGCTGGAGTACATTCCGATGGTGGGTACACACATGAAAGTTCTTCAGTACACTATCTTAAGTTCAGGAACAATGGTTATGAGTCCACAAGCAAGGGTTTAGCCAGCAAGCTGTCCAGGTGTTGTTTAAAGATGACCTATTTTATGGCTGGACGTCATGTTAAAATTCTTGCTACGTATTCCTTTTTTGTTGGTAAAACATGCTTTTACATTTTTGCATGCAAGTAAAATGTTTATCTTTGCCATTTAAACAGAAGAAATATCAAAACACAAAGGACCTCCAGTTTTCAATGAAAGAGAAAGGTACAAGATGGTGCGAGCCATAAAGTGGGTTGATGAGGCAAGTTGTTATCATTATGGTCCAGAATGAAATAACAAAACCATCAGAGGGACATTTCATCAAGAAGTCCTTCTGTTAATATGTAATTAGTTATATTAACATACCTTTGTTACATGTTACCTGTTTAAAGATCTTCCTTTGTGTTTTTCATTTTAATTGAATCTTGCGATATAATATCTAAAATGAAGTTGATTCTTTTTTTTTGTCAGATTGTAGAAGATGCTCCCTACATTACTCAGATTGAAACTCTGGACAAATACAACTGTGACTTCTGTGTGCATGGAGGTGAGTATAAATTAGATATAACACTGAGAGTTTGCAAATGAATAGACCTTAAATTTTCCCGTGCTAATTTTTTTCTGTACTTTATGATGTATTTGAGATGACAGTTGGATGAAGTTAAATTGTGTGAAAAGCCAATTAATGTATGCCCTGAACTGTACATAGCTGCTGTTCAAAAGATCACTTGAATAGAGATTTAAAAATTCTTGAAACTGAAAGCTGACACTGTTATATTCACTTTATATTTGTTTTTATGAAACTTAATGGGTTAATTTTATATTGTAGATGACATCACTGTATCGGCAGATGGAAAAGATACTTATCATATCGTGAAAACTTCTGGAAGATACAAGTAAGAGGCTTAACCGAGTGTCATATCTATAATATTTTTATTCATATTGTCTGGTTGAAGAACTGAATAATCTTGTTTGAATTATATTTATTGTTGCAGTTTTTGGAATGTGCATTTAAATTGTAAAAATGAAGCAATTTTATATTTCAATTCTAAACTTGATTTTTTAATTTTTCACAGAGAGTGTAAAAGAACTCAGGGTGTATCTACAACAGATCTTGTTGGAAGGTATGAATGTTTGTTCATTGTAACAAACCAAAATATAATTATTTTCCCAATATTTTTTCTGAATTGTTACAATGTAAAAAGATTTTATTTGACACTCCCCTACTTTTCACTTTTATTGTTTGGTGACAAGTGCAGAATGATCTTAAACCCAAGTCATTTTCTGTACTTTACTCTGCTTTATCTTTCACAGAATGTTGTTGGCAACAAAATCTCATTTTCAACATGATGATAATGTGGATAAAGGCACCGTTGAACAAATTGCACAGGTAAATATTCAAATACCAAATTTTTTAATGGTAAAAATGGCAATTTTTTAAAAAAGTAAGTCATTGTTGTTAACCATTTTTACATTGCATGACATTAAAATCTAGTATTAAAAGAAAGAAAGAAAAAAAGGGCTTCATTAGTTGCTTTTAAATTGAAATATGAAAGAAAAAATATGAAGAGATGTATATTGGTCCAAGATGGTTTGTCTAAATGAAACTAAAGATCCACGATCACTGTTTTTGCCATAGGACAAGAGTGCAAAGAGTCCATGGACTGGGACCTGTCACTTCTTGGCAACCACACAAAAGATTATCCAGTTCTCTAATGGCAGGGAACCAAACCCCAGTGACAAGATAGTCTACGTGGCTGGTGCTTTTGACCTGTTCCGTATCCTTGGCTTTGTTGTTACAACAAAGTACATGCCATGTTAATATTATTGGTGTTGTCAGGCTATTTTCTAAATTAAAATGTTAACATGAAGATTTCAAATTTTTGCAATTTGCAATTAAAGTAATGCTGCTGTTTTTAGAGTATATAATTTGTCTAAATCCATATAACTTGTGCTTTGCAGAAAAACAGATATATTGAATATTGTGTCCATGTATTGCATCGTAATTGGTTCTGTTTTCTGTTGTGCTTCTTTATCAGTATATTAAGATGTGGGACTGCTGGATTTTCTGGAAAAGGTCTCTCAGCAAGGTGACTTTGTGATAGTAGGAATCCATACAGACCAGGTATGATTATCTTATGAAATGGTTTGCAAAATTCACAACTTCTGCAACTATTTGGTGTAGCTTTGCAAAAATTTACTGCTTACACATTTCGTATAATGGACTTTTAAATCACTTCTTCTTTTGCAAAATCTATAGTTAACTGTCATGGTGAACTGTTTATATGGAAATGAGAGTACCAGCTTTATTTTTATTTTAATGTACATATTGATACAGCTACATGGTTTTGTCATTTGAAATATTCCAGGCTGTTAATAGGTACAAAGGGAGAAACTACCCTATAATGAATCTTCATGAAAGAGTTTTATGTGTTCTTGCTTGCAAGGTAAAGAAACCATTACCTAATGTTTGGAGGAATAAAATTGCTCTTTCATAATTTAATGTACTTGCTTTATTTAAGATTTAAATATGTAGAAAAAAGTATAAAAACTTAATAATTTTGAAAAAAAAATAATTGTCTTTTCATAATGATAATTTTGTTTAAACACACATGTTGTAATTTGGTTGTGCTAACACTAACTTCCTTTACCAGTATGTATCAGAAGTAGTCATTGGAGCACCATATGAAGTAACAGCTGACCTTATGGATCATTTTAAAGTAAGAAATTATGTTAAGTGACAGTTGAAAAACGACAGATAAGACTTAAGTAAACAAACACGGAATTTTGTTTCTCTTAAATGGCTTAAAAGTACACAAACACGGAATTTTGTTTCTCTTAAATGGCTTAAAATTTCTGATGGAAACATAAAATTAAAAGGTTTTGTGGTACAGTTAGTGGAGGCTTTATAGCAAGCGTGCTAAAAGTGATACATGCAGTTAGACAATGCAAATAATATGGAAACATTTTGTCAGCATGTCTTTTTTATGAAAAAAAAATATGATTCTTTCTTATTGTAGGTGGACTTGGTTTGTCATGGTAAAACTCCCATAATGCCTTGTGCAGATGGCTCAGATCCATATGCAGTAAGAATAGCAAAATCAGTGTTCTCCATAATAATATCTAACATTCTAACATTCTTTACAGAATAATTTTGATTGTTTAAATGTTTTATTGTATGAGCAAAAATGTTGGTTTTAGGTCACATGCTCTAATGATCTAATGCACAGATTTTTGTAAATAGATGTCATATGTCAAAATGTCAAAATTATTGTAATAACTGGTTAGTGATAGCCCAGATAATATTATGATTTGTTTTGATTATTGTAGGTGCCCAAGTCAAGAGGGAAATTTAGGGTTATTGATAGTGGTAATGAATTAACCACAATGATGATAGTAGAAAGAATTATTAAGCACAGGTAAATCAGAGGTTTATTTGCATTCATCAACGATTGAACAGCTAAAACTGTCATGGAATCTGTCGCATTGTCCTGCTGACCTTATAGATCATACTTGATCTACTTGACGAGTCGAGAAACTTTAATATTTTCTTTTGATTTTTAGGAAGTGGTTTTTGCGTATGATGTACAAATAATGTGCTGTTACTCAATCTGAAGGATTTATACTTTCATATATAATTTTTTCGTCTTGAAAAAGCTTGAAACATTTTTTCAAGAAAATGTCATTGTTTTTTTTATTATTATTTTTAGACTGGAATACGAAGAACGTAATAAGAAGAAAGAGGTGAAAGAAGCAAAAATCATGGCAGCATTGTCAAATGGAGGTGATAAGTAATGTGAAACCTTTGAATTGTGATCTTCCATAAATGTTTTTTGAACAGTTTAAAACTGTTTGGTGCCAAACTGTTATATATACCATTTGAGCTAAAGTGGATCAAAAACATTGGCATTTCTATTGTCTTATATATGTATGTGTAAACCTTGAAATGTGTTGGTGATGTATTATTATGCATGTATATTGTAAATGTTGGGATTTTACCAGCAGTGGTTGATTAGTGGTGTATAACTTACTTTTGATTTAGATTTTGTAAATTTTTGCCATTTATGTTTTTTTAAAAATTTTATATAATTTTAGACTTAGTGAAAGATATGTAATCAGAATTTCAAATCCATAATTGCTGTGACAAAATGAGTGTTATTACACTTTTAAGAAGTGCAAGAAGTTGCTGGATACAGTAAAATTCCATGAAATGGATGTGTAACCCTGCATTGGTCCATTACTAACCAAATTGCTGTGCCAATGTTTCTGTGCAATTAAGAATTTGTATTTCTTATTAGTCATTTATAAATATCCTGTGAATTTAGTCTGAAAAAAAGAGAATTTATACATGGTCATCTTTGGTGGTGGCAATACATGTATGCAGAATTTATGTGGGAAGAGGAACCTAGTCAACAGTAAGGTTTCTTTTAAATATCCCTGCATTGATTTTAAAGCCTGAAATTACTTCTTATTATGTGTAATGTTTAAGTAATTTTAAGATCATTTAATATAGTCGGTTCTGTCATTGTCTGTTTATCAATATTGCATGTGTAGATATATATTTGTGGGTATGGGCCTTATGGTGAGAAACAATATCATCACAAAAAGGGGAAGTTAGTAGGTGGTTAAAGAAGTAAAATGATACTGATTTGCTATATTTCACATTTGAATTAATGGATCATTTGGTTGCTTTTTTAAAGAACAGTTCAACACATGTTCACAAACTTTGTATTCATATTTAACCATAAACTTTTTGTTTAGTTTATATGGTTTACAATAAACTTTTGATAATCATTTTGCTAAGATTTTTATAATAATGAATGTGAAAACGATCATTTTCATCTTATCTTTAAGCCTGCTGCACAAGGGAGTTGTCTTGTTTATGGAAAGTTTATTTGTGGCACTTGCCCTAAGGGGAAAGCTCTCTGGTGTGGTGTGATTATTCACCTTATGAGGTGGTCAATATCTGTTGATTTTTTTAAATGTCAGGTCATCAGACTTTAAAATTGGGGATAAAATAGAAGTGTCAATGTCTAGAATCACCAATGAATTAAATCAAACAGGTAAACATAACTAGACAGAAACCAATGCAGTTTCTCTTTTATCCATGTGAGATGAAAATATCAAACAGGACACATACTGGCTACAGCACCTCAAAAGGTGAAGTCATTTGTTAATAACTGTAAGGTTAAGGTAAGCCCCTAAAATGAACTTTTCTGTAAGCAGAAAGCTCCAGATTTGGAGGGCTTTATGTCACTGATAATATCTGGCAATAACTCTTGCCTGGTACAAATTGCAACTCGGAATATAATTGTAGATTAGCATGTAAAAAAAAGGAAAAAACCCTGTCAGTTGGACAGATCATTAGCATCTTGTCATTGAGTGTGTTTATTTGCCACATTTGTACAAGATTACAGTTGCAAAATTCAATAGATCAAAACTACAGCAGTAAGGTCTATATCTATGGATTTCTTGAGCTTGGAACAAAAATGCTTTGAAAGTTAAAAAGTGTTAAAATGTTTTATTTTGTAACAATTCATTAATAGCATGATTTATGAAATGTAGCCAGAAAACTCAAAGTTTGTTTTCTTGCAAGCATAGACATAAACAGTACACACATGAACAAAAATTCCCTCAAATTTGTAAGGCTACATAATTCAACAAAACTTGAGCAAATGATCAATGAGTGATTTGGCTGGTATGAACAAAACCTTCCTTGTCATGATTTGTTGTTTAAAAAAATGCAGCAGTATACTCTGTTAACATAAGATTTTGGTGCATATTGAAAGTAAACATTGACATTTACATCCTACTTGCACATAAAATGTCACATCCCTCCTAAAAAAGTAGCTGGCCCAAATTGTACTTTAAAACAAATGGTGACAGCATCTGGGTATGTGGGTATGCATATGCATCATACGTAAATTATATTAAATTAAGAGTACTTCAATACAAGTACAACCTGTCAAAAAGTAACACAGTTTTCACCATGCAAAACATCACTGTTGATTGCAGTAAAAGATCAAGGACAGAGATTGTCATAGAAGAATAATGTCAAAATATCAATTGCATCTCACACTAGCAAAGAGGCAATCCACTGCATAAGTCCATTTTTATAGAAGGCAAGGGTTCATGAATAAGTTGGTAGGTGCTTTTTTCCAAATTCCTCACCACTGGCTTATGTAGTCAGTTGACTGAAAGAAGAATAGACATCAGGATATTTTTATATTTCAGTCAAAAAAAGTAAAAGTATGAATATGCAAAATTGTTTAATAACTCCATTTTTATATAAATAGCCAAGAAATATAAATCCAGAATTTTGAATGCATTAATATTAGGAAAAGAACTGATAGTATCTGAATCAAAATAGTACGTCAGTTTGCCAAACTTTGAGTGCAGAGTTATCTTCTAGCCAGGCATGATAGCTTGAAATACTATGTTATGGGAATCATAGGACAGATTTTATTATTTATGTACAGAACAAAAATGCCTTTCAATTCTTCAGAGAAAATGAAGGACACTTACTGAGTATCTGAAAGGTATCTTTGCAGAATATTCTTGAGCCATCATCCTGCTGTGTTCTTTCCTTCTTCTCCTAAAACATATGAATAAATAAATATGTTAATGGAGTCAAAAATTTAAACTAATGCTTACTTAAGAGTAGCCAGAAATAGTTCAGTCTGGCAAATTGAGGGTATTCACTTTAAAGATTTCTATGAGCAGGGGAAAATTTTATCATTGTCAAGGTGTCCAATATATGAAAACTATGATCTACATGTATATTATTAAGCTTATTTATTCATAGTCATAGTACTATTCAATTAAAAAAATAAGTAAGTCTAACTAACATGTCCTCTGATTCCCTGGTGTGCTTTACTGGACTTGATTGCCTCTGAGTGGCTTGAAGTTGTTGTTCATAGCTGCTCATAGGACGTCCTGCATAACCTCCCTGTTGGAAATGGTTTTGGACACGCTGGGCAGCAGCAGCTTCCTGGAGCATGAATAAAATATTATTAGCTGAGGGAGACTTAAAAAATGTAATATAAATACTACTACTACTACTACTACTTATGAATAATAATTATAACCAGCACAAAGTATCCTGTACAAAATCACGGAAAAGTCATTTGTGTCTAACAGTCTTACTAAAATAAATAGATGAAGGTATAATTAGTAAAGCAAAGTAAAAATGATTAATAATTATTTGAAAAATATAGAAAAAATTGCTGGTATCAAAAATGTTCTAAATATGTTAAAATTTTGAGTAAAATAATTGACAGTATATGAATCAAACAGTATGTTAGTTTGCCAAACTAACTGTCTGAGCTATCATCAAGCCGTGTTTGTTTGATTTTTCCGTCTGACATTAAGCACAAAATGTTCACTTAAATTGCCACAAGTTACAAATTCCCAAAAAGCAATTAGGCATTGATGGTTTTTGTTGACCAGCTACTGAATTTGCCAACTCTTGTTAATATTTGCATGATTCAAATAGAAAATTTTCCACAAATACACAGCATAAAAACAGCAGTGCTATTCTATTGATGTAAACTTCAATAGGAAGACTGGTACATGGTAACAATCAATATAAAAATTTGTTAACCAACAACAAAGGGGTGAAAATCAATTATTTTCATACATAACTTATGCATGGTATAAATTCTTGATGCTGTGATGCTTATTATACCATTGAAAAGTCAATAGACTTTATTACTTCAAGGTCCTTTTTTTTTTCTAACTTTGCTCTGAAAAAGTGCTCAAACTATCTGCGGTTTTAGTGATCCCCCAAACCAGAAGTTTTGAAGTCAACTTTAATTGTTCAAATTATCCGAATACTGAGGTCATAGTGTCTCAATTTTGCTTCATTTTACCATGACAAATGTCAAAAGAATCAAAGTGATGCAGATTGTAGGAAGTATATCCGAGTTGAACCTACCTCTGATTGTTTTTGAAAGTACGCATTTCGGAACAGAAAACGTTCTCGTCTGCGTGCTTCATTATGCTCATTAATCCCTGATGCTGCCATAATGAAGCCTGTGGAAGGAAGAAATTGGTTTTAAAATTGATAAGAGAATACAATGTATGATATTTGCGCGAATGCTTATCGACTCTCGAACCTGTGAAGAATATATCGATATCTATGTTTTTGTTTAATTTTGCTGGATTTCACGTATGAATAAAAAATAGTTTGTAACCTTAGGTCATAAAGGATGCATTTTTTAACTATTTAATAATTGACTTATGTATAAAGCTTGTAAATGCAGGAAAATTAGATACGTGTTACCTACCGCAAGCGATGTAGTTTTATGGTGTTGGTTGCCTAGCACGCAGGCTGTGGCCTTTGACCTTAGATCGATAAATATCAATCTCCATTGAGTAAAGAGTTCCCAATCAAGATCAAAACCGCGAAAGAATGACACGTTGGTGTCAGCTAGTTTCTTCAAATTAAGTCGTGTTTAAATGTTTTTTTTAGCAAATGTATGCCGTGTCTGCATGTCATATGGCAGTGTAGACAGAAAATGATGTTCAGACCAGACAAGATTTAATTTGCCGCTGATTAGCGGGTTAACTCGCGTCGACGCTTTAGCTGTACTGTCTGTGAAAAGGATCGAACGACAGACGGCAATATTATTTATTTTTTAACATATACTTTTTAACGAGTAAAGCTGCTTAATTTTGGGGTTGCCCCTTTTATTTATTTATTCATTTATATTTATTAATATTTTTTTTGGGGGGGGGGGGAGGGGTGGAGTGGGTGGTGTGTGGGTGAGGAATAACCCACGTACACAATTTGGGCGATTTTTTAACTGGTAAGCATGGAAACAACTTTTTTCCTCTTGGGATTAGTCTTAAAGTTTTTCCACTAATCAATGCATTTTTTTTCCATTTGGAAAAATTGAGAGTGAAACAAATTAGAATTCATCAAAATAAGGGTCAGCCACATTTTTAAATAAAAGTTTATCAATTTTGTCTGGCCTTAGTAACAAAACTACTACATGTTTATATACTTTGCATTTGATTCAATACGCATTCACCAAAATTTTGAATTTTCATTGATGGAATTCACTACCTTCGTATCTAGAATTGAGTGTTACTTTAAAAGCTGAAATAATTGTTCCATTAGATCACCAAAAGTTAAGTTTATAAAGCTGTGTTTTTTATTTTTTTAATTTTTTCCATTTTGGATTTTGTTGATTAATTTTTCAGTAATTTTAACACATTTGTTAATAGGTTGAAAAGTTTCATTTTAACCTGGATGATGTCGCTTTTTCTTATATCAGAAGAATTTGAAATGCTGAGTTCATTAACAAAAATGTGATTGTGAGGAGCACCAACTTAAAGGAATTATTATTATAATTATTATTATTATTATTATTATTATTATTATTATTTTACCAATAGATTATTAGGCCCATACTGTGGGCTATAGCCAAAGATGGGTGGGATGTGTGGTTGTTTGGAACATACTGCCCTTTTGCCAGGGAAAAGCCCAGTCTGTATCAAAATTTGATCTACAGTGGCTTGTTATGAATACATGTAGGGAGCATTCCCCTAAACCTATCATACTAGCAGGTTCGATCTAATACGCTGTTTACACTACAGTCATTTATTTGAATAAATAGCAAATTAGGTCCCATTTCAAATAATTGTAGTAGTCTGAACACGGGAGTATTTTTGTTAACTGATTTCTCAAAATCCTACTAGCATGTTTGATTTTCTTCAGTGATTTGAACAACTTACCAGAAGTGACACCTGTTTAGATCTTACTGGGCATGTGGACAGAAGAGTGCGGGTATCTATGAACACTTGTTTATCACTTTAGTGATTGCACCAAGCAAATCGTATTTTTTTCACCAGAAATCTGAATTTGAAAAATCTGGATTTATCAGATGGCAGTGTGAACGGGGTATAACTGTGCAGGGATTCTCGTTAAATTGCAATCAGTGTGAGTTGCTTAAATGTCTGGCAGGCCAACTCAAGCAGATTGATCCAGCTAGTATGATCAGTTTATGGGAATGCAGTCATAGATCTCATGTTAAAAGGGTAGACTTTTTTCTGAAAAAAAAAAAACCCTCTGAAACTGAGCAATGGCTACATGTCTGCTTATTGGCTTAATTATTTTGATATTATGTTCTCAAGTCAATGGATTCCTCAGTAGTGGCAGTATCATGGGGCAGATAAGGACTACCTGAGGGTTTGGGTCTTTTACAACCTGCCTAACAGCAGGCAATTTATTATGGATTTAAACCAGACTTTGATAAGAAAAGTGGGGCAAACTCAGCATAGCTGTAGACCAGGAACTGAACAGGACGGCTGAACAGGTAGGCGGTTCATAGGGCAGATATTTAAGTTTTTGATAATATTTGCTGATAATATAATACCTCCATATAAAGAATAGATGTTAATAAAAATTCATTACCATCTTGGCATCATAGTCTTTATGTTTTCTTAATTTTTCTTAAAGTAAAGCATAGATAACACAATACATTAGGTTTCAAGAAAACACTGCTTCTTGAGAAAAAAAAAGTAAGAAAAAAGTGTGGATCAAAAATGGAGTGATTTTGTCTCTTATCTTTAATTAAACTTTGATATTTCTAAAGAGATTTTATGTGAATGTTATTGTTTACAGATTGTGAACAAATAATTCAACAATGAGATGGAAAAAAACTGGGGGGGGGGGGGGGGGGGGGGGGGGGGGGGGGGGGGGAAAAAATGTTTAGTAGGGGGGGAAATTTTTTGAATGGGTTTAAACCCCCAATCCCAGGTGATGTGATTTGTTTTTT